CTGCCATTGACCTTATTAAGAAAAACAATTAAAAGGAAACTCGACTTTAAAAATCCTACTACTTCTAATAAAATTTCTATACGACGTCTCTAAAGGGGTTTTCTAAGAACATGTTTTTTAATGTACGTCGTTTTGAGAAACTAATCAATGTTAAAAGATATCTCTGGCATAACGGGAAAACAATGACATTGTTGTTTTCAGTATTTCAGAGCTGAACGATTTCCTACTCTCACGTCATTATTGTTATTCTATTTACACAACAATTTACTCGACAAAAATAAACAATTTGCAGACGGCGGGAAACCACTACGCAATAACTTTTTTTAATCAATTGTGTCTTGGCAAACAATCAAGAAATCATTTTTCACAGTTGATCGAAAATGCAATGTTACTTTGTTTCGAAACAAATCGAAAATTATTGTTCAGATTTGTAAAAACGTGCTTTAATTTTAGTAAAACTTTCATTATTTCTATATAAAGATTATAATTATGGACATAAAAAATAATTAAGGTACTTACTTGGATTAATACACAATGTTGCTCGCACTCACGTTTGGAAATGACTTTCTTTTGTCTTAAAAATATCTTCACTTTGTTAGCGTTTGCGCGTGATGTGGTAAGAACAAATCCGCTTTATAACTGGCTACGGATCTGATGCGATTTTATTTATAATCGTAGCAAAGCGGACGGATGCGAGGGTAAGTAACGACTGAATTAATTACTTCCAACGTCTCTGTGAGGCTGCGATGCGCCCGAGAGTGTTCCTTACTGACGTATGTTGGACAATGACCAGTAAAAATAAGAACACCAGCCGTAATGTTCGACAACTAGCACGCTGACCGGATAACATGCCAACAATTCAGATTCGGCAACGCTGAACTACTTATGAACATAACGTCGATACCAAAACAATAATTTGTAGCTTGCATTTTATACGCCTACATTAATAGGTTCTCAATATTAAATAAGAAGCAGTGTTAGGATAGTTGTAAAATCCTCTTGGGGACCTGTCACTTTTGATGAGGTAACAAATGGCAACAGGTCTCAAAAATCTCATGGGTAAATAAGTCAGCATGAACCGTTTATGAAATTTTAAACGTATCTAGACGATATGACGAGTCATCAAGCTAGCTTGATATCATATTTATTAAACAGACAACAAAAACAATTACCAACTAATTGTATTGTATCGCAAATACATGATAATAACATAAAAATAATAACAGATATTAATAATTTAATTAATAAAAAATAAGTGCCCTTATTTTTGAATTCTAGAAACACTTTAAAGCAAAAATTGTTTTAAATTACTTGCTCAAACTTAGATAGGTAAATCCTGTAAATGGTTCTTCCTTTAGGAAAAGTAATTTACAAGTTTCCTAAATACCTAGTTTATTAAACTTAGAATTCTCAGAATAACGAATAAAATCTCAATAACTTCGTCGGAATCGGTTAAGTTTCAAACTATAGATACATCATCATAACTTCAGAAAAAAAATTAATTAGGCCTTTGAACATGTACAAACTATTCTTGATGTGAAAAGTAATGTCGAAATAAAGTGGAAAATTCTAGTTTATTATATAAATACGGACAGATGGACAAAACAGCAGAATGTACGTACATGAATAGATCACAGACAACGCCAGGCACCGACTGCTAGTATTTTTATACCTAGCACGTCATAGCCATACAAATAATAAAATTCTAGCTGATCTACATGATTTGTTTGTATGTCAGCTAACATTTTGAAAATGTCTTTACTTTTTTGTATGTAACGAATAAACTCAATAGCTAAATTGGTCCAGAATTTTATATGTTCTTTGACTATTCAGGAACTATTAACTGAGTAACATAGGCTAAATATTATTGCACTATTTTTATTAACTCCGCGCAGTCAAAGTCCCGGCTAAACTCGAGTGTTATTGTTGTTAACGAAAGCGCAAGTCTACACAAAAGTAAATGAAACGTACAAATAGCCTTAAAACACTGTTACATCTATATATTTTGAGTATAATGTTATGGTAAATAAAACAGAAATATAAAGAGAATATAATGTATATTTTACACGTAAAAAACCTAAAACTAGTCAACAACAAATTGAAAATCCTGCAAGGATTTCATAACTAACAATTGCACCTTCCATAACGCGTTTCAAAATATGTATTAGAATTTGTGGCCTTGGTCTATCTCTCCCATAGTTTATTTATTTAAATTTCTTTTTCATAACAAAATCGTTCCGTGAAATCAAATTATATAACAGAAAATAAATACCCGTTACTTTCCGCTATCGATGAACTCAGTTTCTTTCAATAGACATGCTCTATTAATATTTTACGATTAGGCAACATTTAAATATTTGTAAATATTATGCTCCCGCAACGAATTCATCGAAGAGAGCTTCATGTTCTGACCTTGAGAGCATAAATTCAGGCAAAGAGACGCCTA